AACCCATTAGCCCATTTTAATTTGAAGCAAATGAATATACTTTATGTAGTGTTGCTGTAATATTAATATCTACTTTTTGGTATTTGTATGCATTGAATTAATCTTATTGGACGGCTAGTTATTTATATGTTTTTGAATTGGACTACGTTAATTTGTAAAAGTTACGAATGAAATGTCATTAGTTATATTTATGTAGTGTTGCTGTAAATATTAAAAAATTTAATTATCGTACGGAACCGACCCGAACCGAACCGAATCGAACGGAATGGAACCGAACCCGAACGGTTCCATAATTATATTTGGACCTGACGGGTCCATTTATTAAATACCCGAAAGTTTTGAGTCGGTTTGGGTCTCTTCAAAATCGAACCGAACCGACCCACGGATAGCCCTACTGATAACTGATAAGATATAACAAAAATCATGCAGATTGCAGATTAAGCATTAATGTCATAACACGAGTGCAAATTTGGTATATATAATTAAAAGCTGACATAGAGTTCGTGGTGCGTCAATGGTTAACGTGTATGGACAAGGCATTGTATTGAATGCCTTGGGCGACCTGGCGATAGTTGTGTTGTACAGCTGAGTTGAGGTCTTGATTTAGTATGTTCAACCTCATCTTTTGTTTCATTGTGGTGTGTTACAATTGAATCTCAAATGAAATCATCAACAGAGTTTGAAATTTCTCTAAACAAATTCACGAATTATGTGAGAATTTGCCCTAAACAGCCAAGTTGTATTTTTGGAGCACATGTGCCCCTGGGCTCAGATCTTGACATCTTGTGTGTGTGTGTGTGTGTGTGTGCGTGTGTGTGCATGCACTTCACATTGTGATGAGTTCGTCATCGCTGCTCAGCAATATGCTCATGTGCATGGCAAAGTTTTTTAGTGCTTTTGATGTAAATTTTTGTGAATAATTTTTCTTGGCAAAACATATTTTGAAGAAGTGAATGTGTACTAAATGTGGTTCCATACCTTGTTTATGAAATTTCATGTCTAAGAAAAAAGATTCATGCAAAAATATCCAGCAATTGTTATCTGTAGCTTTGAAAGATCGTTATGTGTGTGTGTGTGTTCAAAAAATT